ATATATATATATATATAGTAAAACTATAAAAACTATAGTTTTCATATTTCATATTTGTAAATTATTCCTTTAATAATTAGATAAATTATGTACTTTACATCAAAAATGAAGAATAATTAAATATTTATTAAATATCATTTGAAGAAGTTGAAAATAATTATTAAAAATCTTAAAATCTTAAAAAAAAAAAATCTAAAAATTTTAAAAAAAAACACTTTCGATGGATGATATTTCAGCAAAGAAAATTTGCAACAGTTTTCTTTAATAAAGCACAAGATAATTTTTCGATATGAAAGAAAAACCATTAGCATACTTAGTAGGTGCATTTGCGTGGAATATGTGTATATATGTATGTATGCGTGAAAAAATGATTTTAGAAATACTTGTAACAGTGTAATCACAAACAGTTTTCGAATACATGAAAAATAAAGTTACGAGTTACAAGTGAATGCCACCGGTGTAAGCACCTTTAATTCTAAATTTATACGTATGATGATAATCGATGCCCAGGGTTTATCGAACACAACGATTAAAAATACTTCATTCTCCCCTCACATGTTGCGCATATTTGATATCATTCACTGACATCACAACAATAACGTCGACATTATGATTAATATTTATTATTATTCGAAGGAGACGATTCGTGTCTTTGACGAAAAGGAAAAAAGAAAAAAAATATATATCATCATTTGGCCATTATGTAAAATCTATATGGGCCACACACTTATAATTGTATAGTATTTTCTGTACACCGATTCTCATACTTAGACCGAAACGACTTAAAGTGATCGCCTTAAATCAATAGTGTGTTTTAACCATAGATTTCTCTATCGATTGTCACGTTTTATTTTATTTTATATTATTCATTATTATTATTGTTATTAATAATCGATTGTTCATTAATCGAGTTTTAAATTACGCGTATTTTTCATATTTTGTTTAAAATTCACAACGTGATAAAACGATCGAGACTTTGCGGTTAACCTTCCCTTACTTGTCACACCTACCCCAACACCCCGCATTTAGGTTCACCTTATTTTGGTATAACAACTAACAGCTCTGGTTCTCCTCCCTTCGGGCAGTGGCCACATTCCGGAAAGGCGTGCGAGCTGTTCAAATGGTTGGAAGAGCAAGTATGTATCCCCCGAATGTAGAATTGTCTTCCACGTCCCTTTTTTTTTCTTTCATACTCTTTTTTTCTCTCTCTCTCTCTTTCTCTCTCTAATTTTAGCCTCTTCCCATCGTTAAGTAATGTGCGAAGATATAGTCGAAATTTATTTAAGAAATAGTTTATTAATTTCATGCAACTTTTAAATCAATATAATTAAAAAAAAATCTATTATTTCAAAATTTTAGTAAATTATGAATGATAATAGGCATAAAAATATAAGATATATAATTTATATTAGAAAAAAATATTCGATTTAAAGGTTGATTGCACACAAAATCCTCCTTTCGTTGATCATTTAAATCGCGTTGATCATCTTTTTGTTTTTACAATTTTTAAAATTTGAAATCTATAGTATTGTTGTATTGAATTATTTATATTTATATACGTGTAATTAGAAGAAGAAAATTTGTGAGATTAAAGTTAAGCCAATTTATCATAGCCTAGTTTAAAAAACAAAATTTAAGTTAAAGGAAAGTGCAAAATCGTGGAAAAAAAAATATTAACCTATCATATTTAAATACTCGACGAAGTATAGCACAACGTTTGGTCGATAATTTTTATAGTTATTTATACGACGTTTTTTTCTTGATTATTCAAAATTAGAATATACATGTACGTATAGACATGTTCGTTGTGCTAATTGTGTAATTTCATCTAAATTGATAATAATTGATTTTTCAAAGTAGAACATATCATTAGTGTTTTGAATTCCTATGTGATGTGATGTATTTTTTTGTTTCTTTTTTTTTTTTTTCTGCAACTGAAATTACTATTTACATATTTCGATGTCGTTTTGAATGTAGTTCTCTGAAGGTATGTAAGTGTTTTTTTTTTTGTTTTCGATGGTTATTGTTGTGAGTGAATTATTGAAATTGAATCGTCTTAAATTCACGCGATGTGATTGCCTTGAGTTCTTTTAACTATTTCTAATTTGATCTTGCATCGGTGTTCAATATCTAACTATTATATCTATATTCAAAAACTTTTTTTTTTATTTTTTTCTTTAGAATATCTTAGAATTAGTGTTTCTTGAGTGGTTTATTTACTTGTTTCATGGCAAAGTCAATGACTATATTTAAAAAAAAAATCATTTCCTCCGATATCCCGATATTTGCTTCAATTCCTTAGGTGTTTTTTAAACGTCGTTGAAAAATGTTAAACATGTTGCGTAATGTTGAATCGATCACAATATTAAGTGTGCAGTATTTAACATATATATATATATGTGCTTCGAGTTATTGCAAATTATACTATAAAAGCTATGTGCTTTTATGATTTTCATTACGATTCATCTTCAGAATTTAGAAAATGATTAATAAATGTGAGAATATATGTAGTTGAATTTTTGAAAATTATATTTTTTTTATAAAATTGTATCGAATAAATTTTAATTTAATTTTATTTAGAAGAAAAAATTATCTTTTGCTAATCGAATATTTTTATGCTATTGAGCTATTTTAAGATTAATTTCATATTTAAAATCAGTTATTATATACATATTTTTATAATTTAATAATTGATTTAATTATATTTTTATTAATTATCCTCTTGCACAATTATTGAACAAATTATTAGTGATGTTTGACAAGCTAGAAGTTACAAATAATTAATCACTTTTGTTGTATATATCTATAGTAACATTTATTGAATTAAATAAATGAATTTTTTAAATAAAATATAATGATATATTCATTTGTATTAAAGATATTTATTTCAAAAATATATTATTTTCAAGTGATCATTATTCCGAATAAAAAAAAAAGTATAAAAAAAAATATACATATTTCAATCCAAACAAAAGAAGAATAATTTTTGAAAAAATAAAAATTTTATGTAATATTTCATCAAATGAAATAATAAATATTAAAATATTTTGAATTCATTTTCAAATAAATTATTAATCAAATAATAAACGATTCAAATTTTAATAAAATTTGAATAAGGAAAAAAATCATAAATTATTTGAATATTACAAAAAAAACAAAAAAATATACTGTTCTAATTTGCAACTCGTCAATACCACTAATATTATTAACTATTAAATTA